CAGTCGTAATAAATCGGTGCAGATTAAGGGATTAAAACTATTTATTGCATTGTATATTTTTCAAAATCAGGTCGTTTTTTGTTATGCTTTAGCCACTCTGGCTAAATTAGTTTTTTTATTGGAAAAAGGCATAATTTACCCAGAATACACTGCAAATAAGTCTTTCTTGAGGTTCTCAAAAACTAGAATTTAGACATCTAGTCCGACTATTAGTTAGATAAACCTAGGGAAGTACTGGAAGTAAATGAGTTCCCTTTACTGCAGTGGCATCTCCCTATACGATATGTGCACGTTTGAATATAAGCTGTCCTAAGAAGTGTACTGTTTTCTACTTTTACCTTTACCCTCTATGTATGGATAGTCCAATAGTCAGCCTGTTTTTTCTTCTGTTTCTCCATTCTCTATTTCTGGCCATTGTCACAAATGTCTGACTAATATGTAAAATCTGAATAACAAGATCAGCATCCACATAACGTACCTTCATCAGTAACTGGGGGCCACTGCCTACTGTCATCAACCCAACACCCAATGCTGCTGCTGTCACTCTCAAAAAGCCAATAATTGAAGTAAAGTATAGATTTTTATATTATTTTTTTAATTAGCATATTCCAGAAACTCACATCCACCTAGGAATTTGTTGGTGCCACAATTTTGCCCCCACCACTTAAAGAGCACTGAGTCCAAAGGCCCAGTAAAGGGCTGTAAACTGGCACTGGTGCTAGTGGAGATTTGGAAGTTAGCAAAGAGAGAGAGGCATTTGGATGCAGGCTGCACACCAAGTCTTACAAGAGAGATTGAGAATTTATGGTTGGTATAGTGTTCTTAGTGATCTTTCTGCACTCTGTCCACACAATTTTATCGGTGCTTGTCTTTGCACTGAAGCATTCATCCAACTGGAAGTGAAGGTGAGAAGCCATTTTAAGGGTTTGTCAGCAGAGCAAACATTCATCAGTCAGAACTGCCTTCTAACATTTTTATAAAATGGACTTATTTTCAAAGTAAATGTTCCCCATTGGCATACCTGGCATTTACATCTGACTCCATACGTTTGTAATAAAGAAGAGGCAGGACATTGACATTAAATGAAGACTTTCCAGAGGTAAGCCAGTGGATTATCAATCTTATAACATTCTTCAGGTCATGCAGAATTCCCCATTCTTCTCCCAAAACACAGTGAGACAAACATTCCTCATATCATTACTCGTGGGGTATGTGTCAGACGTTATATAAGTGCATGTGGGAACATATGATAGAAGTAGCAGACTGTTAGTCTATCACCATAATCTCATTCAGAATCGTAGTAAGAATTCAAAGGACAGCTTGTTTTGTGTATAAGACTGTGCAGGTTGTGGTAATACAGTGATCAGTTGACCCTTTTTAAATCTTTGTGCGAGCCATCAGGCCCTGTGGCTTTTCCTAAATTCATATTATCTATACCATCTAATACTTAGTTTAACAATAAGCTATGTCTCTCAGGTTTCCTCTGAAACCTTAGGGATGCTGATACCAGGGAATTATTTTATTTGAAGGACCTGGTTAAATAAATGCTCGGAGCGTTTAACTTTTTTTTTAGTCTTCTTATTATCCAGATGACATATGTGATCCAGAATGGTATGGCCATTATAATTATCTGGCAGGCAATACAATACTCTGTCTGGGACTCTGTGTATACACCAGACCAAAAGTCACTCTGCTGTTTCTCCATATACTACGTCTTCTTATGTTTTTCTGACGCTGTTTTATGATTTGATTTGATGATTCAGATTTGACTGTCCCAGTTGTTTTCAGGAACATACAGATACACACACAGCAGGATAGAGACATGGACAGTACATAAAATCTTCATGTCAGGCTCCTTCTAGTATTTCAGGCCACAACAGCATCACCAAGGCAGCTTTGTTCAGGGCTGCTATGCTGGAAGGGACAAAACTCCTGCTGAAGTGAGCTCTTCTCTGTTTTAAAGTCTCTGACCAGATGGTAGTAAGTTAAGTGTTGACTGAGGGGGTGATCAGGGTCAACATGTCACTACTACCATCTGGTCATTATTAACAACTAGTTTGCTGTCAAATTCTTTGAAAGATGGACGATGGAAGAGCAACTTAAGCTGTAAGTCATACCTGGAGGAATGGATTGTGAATCACCATAAATCCAATATCCTGAAGCATGAGATCATATAACTATACTAGAGTATGTTTCAAGGGACCTGAAACCCTTTATGTCAAAGTCCTTGTAATAAGGGTTAGGTAATAAGTAATAATAATAATAATCTTACAAGATTACTATTACTATTATTAAGTGTTGATACAATGATTAGCTTTGTGAAAGATCTCCTCTCAATAGACATTTGGAGACATAACTACCCATATGTAATGTTTATTCACATTTGTCAAATTTGTAATGCGAGCATAGAAAACGTAAGGCTTTTTTGTCTATAAACTGTGTCTACTGAGAGGAGATCTTCCATGGAATTAAAAACCTGATTCTTGCAAAAGCTAGTTATTGTATTGACACTTTTCTAAGGATCCAGACTGCATAAAATCACCAACGGTAATAGACTCACCAGGGAGATCGGAAATCAAATAGGGGATCATAATTCTTCAGACTGAGTGACATAAATCAGATTTTTTATTTCAGACAAAGGGGATATAAAACCCTTATTGCCCTTTAATTTATGCCTTCATACACACTATGTTCTTGATGGAGTTTAGCTACTTTAAATTCTGTGAGTATTGAGTAAAAACACCATGTTTGCTTCCAAGTATTTTATCCCACACATCACTCACACTTATCACTTATCCCTCACAGTTTATTCACAGTTATTAAAATTTATTTGAAATAACCTTTACAGTGTTAAACAGTTAAACATGTTAATAATACCTGTGGGCTATTATTAACATGAACCTGACCTCTCTTGTCATCAGCATCATGGAATAATGATAAAGAAGGAAAACAAAGTACAGTCCCAACAAAAACAGAGCATGAGTCCATGTAGATTGGACCATTCTTCCCTGCTGTGGCTGTAATTGATCCCAAGGAGCTGTCAAAACAAGAGCCTGAAACTCTCTCTATTCATTAAAAGCTACAGTACTCATAGCCTGTTGTATGTGTATGTGTTCTGAAGCTGTGATAGTTCAAAAAAGCCTGTGTGAATTATGTTTTTCCATCTTTTCCACTGGCTCCTGCTGAGCTCTTATGGTCAGTAATAGTTTTTTCAGTATAAATTGAATTCTAAAAGCACAAGTCTTACTAGTAACACTAAAGATGATAAAAATGGAGCTGGGCAGTTATTCAGAGGTCTAGGACATCAGTGGTCCACCCAAACAGGCGTATTCACTTATTTGCCTGATTAGACCTAGTTTGACATGGCATCTGTCTGACACTCCTAGTAGTTGTGTTGCAACTTGTTAGGGTGGGAGAAATACAACATGAGCAGGGAAGAATTCAGAATAAGTGAAAACACATGTGGATGTGCAGAGCCTTTAAAGGTCCAATATGTAGCATAGGAGGATCTATTGGCAGAAATGGGATATAATATTCATTTGTTTTCATGAACTTAGAATGAGCTGTTTTTATCTACAGAGGGAGCGGCCACAGAACGGACCAACCAAACACTGGCTATAGGGACAAAACATGTGTAAACACGAAAGGTCCTATTTACGGCCAGTGTTCTGGGCTCCTGTACAAACATGGCAGATCAACATAGTGGCCTCCATGGAAGGCGACCCGCAACGTCTGTAGATAAAAACATCTCATTCTAAAGTAACGAAACACAATTCGGATTTTCAGGTGAATATACACTAATGAAAACATATCTATGAATCTTATATTCCAATAGATCCTCCTAAATGTTACACGTTAGAACTTATACAATTCAGGATACTTTCACCGTGGACATCCTTCTGCCATCATGAGATATAAAATTTAATTTACTACTTTATTTTGAGCTTTTTGTATGGAAGTCTAAGTGAGCAATGCCCTCCATGCATGAACACAGAGCCCATGGAAACTGCAGGCAACCATGGCAACAGTAGTGATGCTTCAAGCAGTTTGGTGAAACAAACCTGATGAAACTGTGAGTTAAACTAACTAAAACAAAATATATTAGACTACTATTCCACCACTGTATCTAATCTAATCTGGTTAGAGTTTATTTTAATTGTATACAGGTTTGTTTGTATAGATATTTTTATTAGATTAGAGACTGATTACACATCAAAGTCTTATTAAGACTAGAAGAGAACATGAGCTAACCAGACATCCGTAGCCCGCTCTTCATCTCTGCTTGAGACCAGCAGCTCGAGGCTACATTAGCAGCAAGTAGCATAACTCTACCGTTTCTGCAACAGGTTTTGACAAGAAAGAAGAACTACATTTCTGGTTCTGTTGTCCATGTCAAACGCATGCAACGCTAAATAAGTAGGCTACTTTTCATTCTGTAAAAACATAACAAATGTAACTTGTTAGCAAACAGGAATACTTGTCCAATTTGTTTTCCAGATCAGACCACCTTCGGATTGACTCTTGTCTGCCTCACCATCCTGTATGCCTCTGTACTTAATTGTGTTCATAGAATCACTGCATCAGCTCTGCCTCAGGCGTCTGCATTTGGGTCCTATCCCAAGTGTTCTTGTTAAACTAACACCAGCCCTGACAGAGGGCCCACCATACATGCACCAGTATCTTCCTATTGTGCACCGCTGTGCAATAACTTACAAGACACCCTCAAAGAGCTGCTTTCATCCTTCATTCAGTGGACCCCCACCTACAAAAATGAAACTATTTGATTAAAGTCGCCTGCAATTACTTCAAAATAAAAGTGCGTTACATAATAACTCTTCACCACTAGCGGTAATGTCCTCAATGCATGTGAGGCTCAAGGCAAAGAGAGGGGAGGGTTCACTGAATCCACCGTGTCTTTATTATGTTTGTTGGCACACAGTAACTTCCTTCCTCTGAGATTGACCTGTTGTCTGTTGCCAGGGCAACTGTTGTTCATTAAAGGCATCATCTCCTGGGGGGCGGCGCGTCTGGGTCCGTGTCACCCACCCAGAGATACCTCCTCACTGCCAGAGAGGAACCTGAGGGAGCTGAAGTGAGGAGGATTGACAGGGAGAAGAAGTACGTGAGTCATGGATTGTTTTTGTTCACAATAGCACCCGACAAGTCTGGGATTTATTTAATTTAACGTGAGACTGATTTTTTTTTTTTTTTTTTTTCAACCGTGTCATCAACAGATCTCTCAATCCTCATCATCATGAGGAAGATCAGCGGCAAACACTTGTTGTGCTTCTTCCTGCTCGCCTTCTCGCTGTCCTGGGCAGAGGACACAAAGAAAGATGTGAGGAAGACTGAGAATGAAACAGGTGAGGATTTAACCTTTTTCTTTTGATGAACACATTCAAGCTGGTAAGGCGACATCGTGAAGGACAATTATCTTGCTGGATAAAAATTAGGTTATCATAGACTGATGTGGGTTCTCAATATTTTAATTTAGTGGTCAATCATCCACCGTATCCACGGGCTTGTTTTCTGAAGTAGTACCTAAATAAAATGAGCAAATAAATATAATTTAAAAGGAGGGGTGACAGAGGTTACTTCAGCGTGGCTTATTGTTCACATTTAAAAATGTATTTAAAATTATTATTTTGTATATATATATAAATTATAAGGGAAAACCAGGTTTTATTGCAGGTCAACTAAAGTGGTTTGATCACAACATATATAAACTATATTAAATGTCATTTAATTCATGAAAACATTATCAAAATGTATTCTGTTTAAAAAAGAAAATATTCCTCTTTTAAATAATTTTGCATGAAACCAATGTTCTAATATCTGGTATGGTTTTAACATTTTTGAAGCAGAAAAGAGCTATTTGATAATAATATTTGGGTACATGGACCTCTTTTTAAACATCTGTGTGAAAAAGACATGTTGTGTTCTGTATCGATCCACAGCTTTGCAAGCATTTTGATGTTATCATTTTTTGAAGCAAATAACAGCTGACAGATCTTCTGATTCTGAGTTTGTGACGTACAAACCATAGTTTATTTTGGTTTCATTCTATTTTAAGAGTTTGTTGTTGTCTTTGAGCAGAAAGCTGCTACACAGTATGAACCAGACACATGCAGAGTCTGTTGCACACAAGACCCAATTCTTCATTTTTGACTGTAGAATATATACTAACAGTTTCATTTAATGATACATCTTGATTTCCTGCTGCAACCATTGGGTAACACTTTATTATGAGTACACACTATTAAGCATTAGTTAAGCATTAATAAATACTGAAATCATCATTTATAACGCATTTTTCTGACATGAATACACATTAATATGTAGTTTATAAACACAGTTAATGATGTTTTATTCATCATTGATAAACACATTAGTTATGGATTAGTAAATACTGAATTAATTTATAAAGCATGTTCCTGCCATAAATACTCATTACTATGTGGTTTATAATCACAGTTATAAATGTTTTACTCTTTATTAATAAGCTCATCTATAACGTGCTAATGATTGCATTTTCATATTTTATATATGATGGATTCAGCATTTCTAAATCAAGTATTACATCACTTACTAACCAGTTATTTAGGATTTGTCAGTGGTTTGTAATATAATTTAGAAAGTGTATGTAAATGATGAACAAACTATTTAGATATACATTTCTGCATGCACTTGCACATCCACTATTCAGACATGTATTAATGATTAGTGACTGTGTTAGCAGATGTTCCATAAAAAAACTCACAAATTAATTTTCCAATGGATGTCCTATAAACAGTTATTAATGCAGGAATTCATGAATTGAGGCAGTTACGAAGCACTTACTACTCGTTAATTAAGTATTTTATACGAGCTCATCTAAAGTGAGCATTATCTATGGCTTATAAAGCATTTACAAATGAGATATAAAGGCTGGCAATGCCTCGAGACTCACAAAATGTTCAGTTATCTTAACAGACGAAGGAGAGACACAACACAAAGGGATATAGAACATATTGTATTGATATTTACTGCAACTTCCCAACATATTGTATGAAGACGAACAAGGGTGGTTTATGAAGACATGCTATTGTTGTGATCTTATCTGTTTGGGACGTGTACGTTGAGCTTGCAATCCCGCTCTCAGCACGTCATCAACGTGATGACGGTGGGAGGGGCAACATTTTACGTTCATATTTATGTTAACGCAGCTAAGAGAAGCATGGAGAAGTCTGGCCTAAATTGACGAGGCGGACGCGGGCCAATAAGAATGGCGGTGTGGGGATGGATACATTGGAGTCGGCGGCCGTCAGCGGCACTAGTGGTGAGTATGTGTCTTTGTTTGCTAGCACACATTATGGTTGAAAGCTAACGCTAGCTTGTCGCCCGACTGTCCACTGTCACCTGTCCCCGTCTGATGTTACTACCGACCCGCCCGTGGTGGCTAAGCCGACCTGCCGCTGCTAGGCACTCACCTCGCCCGTCTAGACGAGACTGACTCAACTGCGGCGACAACATTACAAGTTAAAAAATTTTAGGATAAATATTAGGAAAATATTCAAAGTGATAATGATAAATGCAGGCAGGTCGGCTTAGCCACCGCGGGCGGGTCGGTAGTAACGTTAAGGCCTGGACACACCAACCCGATTATCGGCCGTCGGACGTCGTCGGACATACGGTCGAGTCGTCGTCGGTGTTCATTTTGGCCGATTGTACATGTCGAATCGGCCAGTGGCCGTCGGCCTCAATGACCAATCTGATTGGTGGAGTGCTAGCCCTTGACTAGCGAATCATGAGAAAACCGGAAGTGACGATGGTAAACATACTACGCCAACGCCAGTATCTTGTTATTAGCCATTGTATTTTCCGTTCAGCGAGTAATGACAATAACGATCCTTCTTGACCACTATCAACACTATCTGATGAAACAATAACTGACGACAGCGTGCTCTTCATTTACGAGCTCTAGAGTGATCCGTTATTTCCGGTTTTCATTTTTTTGGGGCGACAACACAGATTAGCGACGCCTGCTGTTACGGGGACGTATTACGCCTCGCTGGGCGCAGAACGTACGCTTCAGTCGGCGTCGGTTTGGTGTGTTCGGAGGCACTTTTTTGACCAACTCGAGGAAGACGGGAGCCGACTGATCAGTCCAACTGCTTTTCTGCTGACGGTCGGCCGTCGGGTTGGTGTGTCCTGGCGTTTAGTCGGGGACAGGTGACAGTGGACAGTCGGGCGACAAGCTAGCGTTAGCTTTCAACCATAATGTGTGCTAGCAAACAAAGACACATACTCACCACTAGTGCCGCTGACGGCCGCCGACTCCAATGTATCCATCCCCACACCGCCATTCTTATTGGCCCGCGTCCGCCTCGTCGATTTAGGCCAGACTTCTCCATGCTTCTCTTAGCTGCGTTAACATAAATATGAACTTAAAATGTTGCCCTTCCCACCGTCATCACGTTGATGACGTGCTGAGAGCGGGATTGCAAGCTCAACGTACACGTCCCAAACAGATAAGATCACAACAATAGCATGTCTTCATAAACCACCCTTGTTCGTCTTCATACAATATGTTGGGAAGTTGCAGTAAATATCAATACAATATGTTCTATATCCCTTTGTGTTGTGTCTCTCCTTCGTCTGTTAAAATAACTAAACATTTGCTGCTAACACAGTCACTAATCATTAATACATGTCTGAATAGTGGATGTGCAAGTGCATGCAGAAATGTACATCTAAATAGTTTGTTCATCATTTACATACACTTTCTAAATTATATTACAAACCACTGACAAATCCTAAATAACTGGTTAGTAAGTGATGTAATACTTGATTTAGAAATGCTGAATCCATCATATATAAAATATGAAAACGCAATCATTAGCACGTTATAGATGAGCTTATTAATGAAGAGTAAAACATTTATAACTGGGATTATAAACCACATAGTAATGAGTATTTACGGCAGGAACATGCTTTATAAATTAATTCAGTATTTACTAATCCATAACTAATGTGTTTATCAATGATGAATAAAACATTTTTAACTGTGTTTATAAACTACATATTAATGTGTATTCATGTCAGAAAAATGCATTATAAATGATGATTTCAGTATTTATTAATGCTTAACTAATGCTTAATAGTGTGTACTCATTATAAAGTGTTACCAAACATTGTGATGTGAACAAACCTTTTGACAGCATCAGAAACAATTTAGAGGCATTAAAATACCTGCCTGTCAATCTGGTGGTGATATGATATCATGCTCCAGTCCAGAGATTGGTCATCTGTGTATAGCTGTATCAAAAATGTTCCTCTTAAACGTAAATTAAAGTGGCAAACGAAACCGCATGAGGAAACACGATTGTGATTGAGCTGATTAAAGGTTATCTATATGAGATTTAAAACCTCAATTAAGCAGCAGACAATTATTGGCAATGTATAGTGAAGTAATGGTGAGCAGAGATTGACGTCACACTCCCTTCGCCTGTGTTGCTCTCGCAGCGCTCTGCTCCATGTACAGCTGAGTAGAATGATAGAAACTGCTGTTTATAGCGATATTACAGCTGTTTCTGGTTGAATAGAAAGGTCTATCTCTATGGGGATCCTTTCCTTAATGTTGTCACACACAACAATCTGCCTGTCAGTAGTAAAACAAGCACTTTTAGTTGAAATACTTTGACAGGCAATTTGTCAACCAGAACGATCAATGTTGGGACAATGTTGGTTAATTTGGGGAACAAAGACGGTTTTGGTGAGTTTTATTTTATTTCTGTCAGATTGTTTTGGTCTGGGATGCTAGTGCTCTAGTGCAACATCCTGTGGCAATATATATATCCTTTAAATATCGCAATATTTAGATATTTGGTGGTATCTGTGCTTATGCAAACAGAATGTTTCGTACAGTTGCAGCGGCGCATCAAAAGCATTTAACTGGTAAAACAAGTTTATTTTGAAGTAGTCACAGGGAATGCAATGTGTTTGTCAGTGAGATTAGCACTGATCGTTATTGACACTAACTGCTATCTAAAAGGATGTCGCCAAATCAAATCAACTAGGACTGAAATCTTCGAGATTGCCTGGCAGTGAAACATATCGCCTTATGAACTTGATATAAGGAACATGTAAACAAGCAGTTGGCACATCCAGTTGAAACTGAGCTATATTAGCATCCATCTAGAGTCTAGTGTGAATATGGGCCTTACATTCATTACAGTGTCTACTTTTTGATCTTTTTTTAGTCTCTACCATCTCCTGGGGGAAATATCTGACTCTTTAGTGTGTGAACACCAGCTACTCGCTAACATTGTCTGTTGGTCATTTGCTGCTGGAGATGTGACATACAATGTGTTTATCTAAGCTT